TGTGAATATTATTCCAGCTAGGAAGCTGAAGGTGGAAACTCGTTAGATTGCTTGAGTAGAAAAGAATCTAACAAGAAAGGGTTTCAGGGATCCCAGTGGTGAAAATCTGGAGATCGTTGGTTTGATCCGGTGAAGGACAAACAGTTGTAAATATTCACAATAGGGAACACTGAAATAATAAAGTACCTCACTGTAGAAAGAGTTAAAGGATTGTAACATCGGAAGACTTAATGTAACTCAACCAAGCCATTTTGTATCCATCAAGCTTGTGCCAAGTTCAACAGTTTAATTTTGCAACAATTTACGCTCTGATAACAATAAACCTGTTCTTTTTGTGTTTAAAACTTGCCTCCTTCACTGATTTCCACGTTTGAAGCATTCCACACTACCCAAGGTGCCTCACAACACAGATAAGGATAACCAGAGATCATTTTTACCAATATCACTTATATTATGGTGGCAATTTAAGCTAGAAGTCTCAAATCTTTATTACATCTGTGTGGTGATCCTATTTATTTGGGATTTTACACCATTATTTCATTTTGGAGACTTCCTCACATATTTTGGTGGCAGCAAGTGAACGGTTTTAAATTTTTAGTAACAAGCGGTGGGAGTCACGGCTTCGCAAGGGCGAAAGAGAGAAACGTGCCAAGAGGAAGGCATGTCAAGCCAACCCTGACCAGGACCGCCTTCCATCTGGAAACCAATGCCCTCACTGCGGGAGACGATGCAGATCAAGAACAGGGCTCCATAGTCACCTACGGACCCACCCTGGAGGATTTTCCTACTCAGACAATGAGGGATCGCCTAAGTAAGTAAGTTACTTGATAGTAAAAATCACCAAGATGAATACGCCAGGTTTCTAACATGATTTTTATGATGGTGAAAGCACATTAAAAGGTTAGATAAAATCAGGGAAATAAAGGACATGGATGAATTGACTTTTTTGTTGAAGAAAAAATACTGGTAATACCTTAAAAAGAACAAATTGGGACCCTCTCCACAGCTATCTGGAAAATTTGCAATAATAGAAGACACGATAGACATTTTTACTTAATACTTTTTTTTGATAATCGAAAGATATCAACCAAGAAGATGGAATGAAAGTCAATTTTTGTGCTTTTTTACCTTTTTATTTTTATTATTATTTTGCTTTTTGTATTTTTTATCTTTTATTATTCTCTTTTTTCTTACATACTTCTATATTTTCCTCTCTTTCTATATTGTTCTCACTCTTTCGTTCATAAAATCTAATAAAATTCTTTTTTTAAAAAGAAAGCACATTAAAAGGTTTTTTGAAAACAGAGTATTTGATAAGGTCTGATTACATATAAATAATAAATTTTTTCAGAATAAGGAACACTTTAAAACCAAATTATTACTTTTATTTCTAGTTTGTTAATAACACGGTTTATACAGAAAATGTCTTTTCCAGGCAAGTTCCATCAGAATGTTCCTCTGTGAGACGCAATGCAACTTCTTTATTCCGTGAACGAACAGGGTTACAACTTCCTCTGCTTGTGCCGAGGGTGAGTCTTACAGTATACATACATGCGCCCACGCCTGCGGACAAAGAAGCAGTCCTTGCAGCGCCTTTTGATGAAACCCTTGGTTTTCATGCCAGCAACAGGTTGAATGTTGAGAGCAGGGAAACTTGTGAAAACAGGCATTGGAGCCATGCTCTGTGGCTTGACGGCAGCTAAACCTTGCAATGGGCTAACAAGCTTTGAGTGTCCCAGTAGCCAAGAAGAGAAGGAGCAGGAGAATGGGTGGCCATTCAGGAGCCGAACCGACTTGACTGCAGAGGTCATTGCATTCCTTAAGAGCAGAGCAGCCATTGTGTTGAATCTTAGAAAAGGAGAAGATATAATGTTGAGATTAGGGCTGTGTGATCAATAAAAATGTTTTAATACTCATTACTAAATTGGGGAGGGGGGGTGAATTGTTTTTGAGGGTGTTTCTGAAATTATGGACCTTTGCTGGGCAGCATTTACAGTGATAGCCCAAACAAGTATATGATGACAACAACTGGCGTTTAAGATCTAGTCAGGGGATGATGTGGTTTTTATCTTTGAATATGTTTTTGATAGTAAATAATAATAATAAACTTTATTTATACCCCGCCACCATCTCCCCGATGGGGACTCGGAGTGGCTTACATGAGGCCAAGCCCAAACAACAATTACAATAAGGAAAAACAGAAAACGCAAACCGAAAACGCAAACAATAAACAACAACATCATAGTTACATAAAACATGTGAATACATAACAATGTAAAATTACAATAAGCACAATGACAATGGGTGAGCTACATGTAATGATTAAAAGACAAACTGATTAAAACTAATTAATTAATTTGATCGATTTTAACTGCGTTTTTTAGTGCTGTTTCTGTTTCTGTTTAATTCTGTTTAAATCTTTGTATATTTCTATATATTTTAAATTTCATACTAAGGGTTTTATGTCAAGATGTTTTGAGTCATCTTTGGGGAGATAAAGCAGAAGTTTTATTTACTTTGTGTCAAAAACATTGCATAAACAAACAAGTATAAAACTGATAACAGAGAGAATGCAAGCAGCTAAATAACTTTATATCCGAAATGGGCAACAGCAACTGCATTGTCTGTAGCTTTGAGCAGGTCCTCCTCTGTGCATGAGGCAGGGCATTGTGGACAGGCATACATATACAGAGTTTTTTGGATGTTTGATGTTTTACCATCCTTGTGGAAGGCTTCTCTCATGTGCCAGCACGGGGAGCTGGAGCTGACAGAGGGAGCTCAACCCGCTCTCCCTGGATTCGAACCGCTGACTTCGGTCAGCAGTCCTGCCGGCACAACAGTTTAACCCATTGCACCACCGGGGGCTTCATCCTGTGATTATTTAACATGTTTCATTCCATGTTATATCCACCTGCTTCGCGTGATAAAATTATAAAACTATTATAAAACTATGTCTTCTTGTTCCATTCCTTATCCGTTTACATCAGGGGTCCTCAAACTTTTCAAACAGAGGGCCAGGTCGCAGTCCCTCAAACCGTTGGAGGGCCGGATTATAATTTGAAAAAAAAAAAAACCAAACCCATGAATGAAAACACATCTTATTTGTAATGCAAAAAACACTTTAAAATGATACAATAATTAAAATGAACAATTCTAACAAATATAACCTAATTCGTATTTCAATGGGAAGTGTGGCAGATGAGATAGGATTATTGTTGTTGTTGTTGTGTGCTTTCAAGTCATTTCAGACTTAGGTTGACCCTGAGCGAGGGCTGGGTAAATGACCTTGGAGGGCCTTAGTTTGAGGACCCCTGGTATAGATAACATATCCGGGCACAGTAAGGAGCTACATACTGAAGTGTATTATAAAGGAGAGACACATAGGCAAGTTATACGTGGCATGTTCCAGGTGCATTATAGATGGAAGTGGCACACCCAGGTGCATTACAGGTATAAATAAACGTATTCAGGCCACAGACTGAAGAGAGGGGAGCCAGGATGAAACAGCTCAAATGTGTCTCCTGCAACATCAATAGGCAGCCCCTCAATATGTACAATACAATAATATAGAGAAATAATAACATTGTAATATAATAATTCTACTATATTATATATAATATTAATAGTGTTATATTATAATATAGTATATACACTACAACTTATAATATAATACAATATTTTATATATATATATATATATATATATATATAGCTGGTACAATAATATAATATAATAATATTTAATACAGTAGAGCAGGGGTCCTCAAACTTTTTAAACAGAGGGCCAGGTCACAGTCCCTCAAACTGTTGGAGGGCCGGATTATAATTTGAAAAAAACATGAATGAATTCCTATGCACACTGCACATATCTTATTTGTAATGGAAAAGACACATAAAAACAATGTAATAATTAAAATGAAGAACAATTTTAACACTCATTGCTGTGGCCCACATGGGGGTTCTGTGTGGGAGGTTTGGCTCAATTCTATCGTTGGTGGGGTTCAGAATGCTCTGTGATTGTAGGTGAACTATAAATCCCAGCAACCACAACTCCCAAATGTCAAGATTCTATTTTCCCCAAACTCCACCAGTGTTCACATTTGGGCATATTGAGTATTCGTGTAGAGTTTGGTCCAGATCCATCATTGTTTGAGTTCACAGTGATCTCTGGATGTAGGTGAACTACAACTCCAAAACCAAAGGACACTGCCCACCAAACCCTTCCAGTATTTTCTGTTGGTCATGGGAGAACTGTGTGCCAAGTTTGGTTCAATTCCATCGTTGGTGGGGTTCAGAATGCTCTTTGATTGTAGGTAAACAATAAATCCCAGACACTACAATTCCCAATTGTTTCTGAGTGAAGGACATACATTGGGTCGTTGGGTGTCTTGAGTCCAGATTTGGTGTCAATTCGTCCAGTGGTTTTTGAGTTCTGTTAATCCCAAAGACTAACATTACATTTTTATTTATACAGGCTTTAATTTTTATTATTAACTTTAATGAATTATTCAGAGTCTATGGATCACTATTGGAATAGCGCTGCCCTTGAAAGGTAAGGCAACCTAGCTTCCTGGTGTTCTTGACCACAACCTCCCACCGGGATGATGGTATCTGTAGTCCTACACACCAGCATAAGAAGATCAGATGGGGCAGGGAAGCACTCTACATTAACCAGAGGAAGAAGCCTGACGCGCATGCGTAGTATCTAAAACTATGAGTGCATGCGCAAACTTTCTCATAGCAATACCTTCAAGTTCTGTACGTAAATCCCCCTTCCAACCAGAAAGCCTGCGCTCGGAGTTTCAACTGCATAGTCCTGAAGAAGGGGAAAATAACACAATTCCACTAACCTTCCAGAAATCCCGCAGGAAGAGACTCTTGGGTAGCGGCGAACCACGGAACGTCGCCTTCCCTGAAGGTTTTTCTACGCGCTGACGTCACTCCACGCCGAGTGACGTCAGACGCAACTGTTTTGGGCGGGGCTTTGCTTGACGAACAGCAGCAGTTCGCGCGTGCGCACTGGCCTGTGTTGTGTTGCTGAGGGAAGCCGACTAAAAAAAGATGGCGGCGGCCACTCTGTCCTTGCGAGGGGTGCTGCGAGCGGGTTTCTCGGCGACGAAGAGGGCCGGCCTTGCGTCTAGGAGGAGCTACGCTTCGGCCGCTTCCCCGACCGGCGAGAAAGTGACGCACACGGGGCAGGTGAATAGATAGCGTTTGGGGTGCCCTTGGGGGACCTCTCTTCATTTATTTATTTATTTATTTACCTTACTTATATACCGCTGTTCTCAGCCCGAAGGCGACTCACAGCGGTTCACAACAAATACGAACAGCAAAAATTCAGTGCTACAGTATAGAAACAGTTAACAACCTAACACATTACACAATTAATAAGCAGTTACTACAATACCCATTCACTGTCGTCTCGTCATCAAAAACATGTTCCAGATTCATCATCCATTGTTCCATTCCAGTGTTCATTAACCAATCATTGCATTATTCGAACGCCTGCTCAAACAGCCAGGTCTTCACCTTTTTGCAGAATACCATTAGAGATGGTGCTAGTCTAATGTCCGTAGGAAGGGCGTTCCACAGCCGAGGAGCCACCACCGAGAAGGCCCTATCTCTCGTCCCCGCCAGCCGAGCTTGAGAAGCAGGCGGGATCGAGAGCAGGGTCTCCCTGGAAGATCTCAAAGTCCTGGTGGGTTCATAGGCAGAGATGCGGTCGGATAGGTAGCTTGGGCCGGAACCGTTTAGGGCTTTAAAGGCCAACGCCAGCACTTTGAATTCAGCCCGGTAGCAGATCGGTAGCCAGTGGAGTTGGTGCAACAGGGGGGTTGTATGCTCCCTGCGCTCCGCTCCTGTTAAAATCATGGCTGCCGAGCGTTGGACTAGTTGGAGCTTCCGAGCCGTCTTCAAAGGCAACCCCACGTAGAGAGCGTTGCAGTAGTCTAAACGGGATGTAACCAGAGCGTGGACTACCGTGGCCAAGTCAGACTTCCCAAGGTACGGGCGCAGCTGGCGCACAAGCTTTAGCTGTGCAAATGCTCCCCTGGTCACCGCCGAAACCTGGGGTTCCAGGCTCAGCGATGAGTCCAGGATCACACCCAAGCTGCGAACCTGCATCTTCAGGGGGAGTGCGGCCCCATCCAACACAGGCTGTAACCCTATGCCCTGTTCGGCCTTGCGACTGACCAGGAGTACCTCTGTCTTGTCTGGATTCAATTTCAATTTCATTCCCCCCTTGCTCTCTCTTCTAACTTTAGACCAGGCTGAGCCGGAAAGGAAAGGCCCTGAGACTGTTAGGAATGGTGGGAGTTGAAGTCCAAAACACCTGGAGGGCCGAAGTTTGCCCATGTCTGGTCCTGCAAGGGCTTTCCTTTGGGTTGTGTTGCGCCTGCTGCCCTTTCATTTGTTATTAATGCGCTCAAGTATTTATATGCAACCCATCAGTTTGCAAACTTTCCAGGCTGCCTAGTTTGTTTTTGTTTATTCTTTCAGTGGTTTCTGACTCTTCGTGACCTCATGGACCAGCCCACGCCAGAGCTCCCTGTCGGCCATCACCACCCCCAGCTCCTTCAGAGTCAAACTAGTCACTTCATGGATACCCAGATTCCGTCCTGGGCCCGGTCCTGTTCAACCTCTTTATTAATGACTTAGACCAGTGTTTCTCAACCTGGGGGTCGGAGGTGCCAGAGGGGTCACCAAAGACCATCGGAAAACACAGCATTTTCTGTTGTTCATGGGGGTTCTGTGTGGGAGGTTTGGCCCAATTCTATCATTGGTGGGGTTCAGAATGCTTTTTGATTGTAGGTAAACTATAAATCCCAGCAACTACAACTCCCAAATGTCAAGGCCTATTTTCCCCACACTCCACCAGTGTTCACATTTGGGCATATTGAGTATTTGTGCCAAGTTTGGTCCAGATCCATCATTGTTTGAGTCCACAGTGCTCTCTGGATGTAGGTGAACTACAACTCCCAAACTCAAGGTCAATGCCCACCAAACCCTTCCAGTGTGTTCTGTTGGTCGTGGAAGTCCTGTATGCCATGTTTGGTTCAATTCCATCATTGGTGGAGTTCAGAATGCTCTTTGATTGTAGGTGAACAATCCCACCAACTATCAAATATTTACATTATGATGCATAACGGTAGCAAAATTACAGTTATGAGGAAGCAACAAAAATGTTATGGTTGGGGGGTTACCACAACATGAGGAACTGTATTAAGGGGTTGCGGGATTAGGAAGGTTGAGAAACACCGAGTTATTAGGCTAGAAGGCATGGTCATCAAGTTTGCAGACGACACCAAATTGGGAGGGATAGCCAATACTCCAGAGGACAGGAGCAGGATTCAAAACGATCTTGACAGATTAGGGAGATGGGCCAAAAGTAACAAAATGAAGTTCAACAGTGACAAATGCAAGATACTCCACTTTGGCAGGAAAAACGAAATGCAAAGAGATACAGAATGGGGGACAATGCCTGGCTCGAGAGCAGTACGTGTGAAAAAGATCTTGGAGTCCTCGTGGACAACAAGTTAAACATGAGCCAACAATGTGATGTGGCGGCAAAAAAGCCAATGGGATTTGGCCTGCATCAATAGGAGCATAGTGTCTAGATCTAGGGAAGTCATGCTACCCCTCTATTCCGCTTTGGTTAGACCACACCTGGAATATTGTGTCCAATTCTGGGCACCACAATTCAAGAGAGATATTGACAAGCTGGAATGTGTCCAGAGGAGGGTGACTGAAATGATCAAGGGTCTGGAGAACAAGCCCTATGAGGAGCGGCTTAAGGAGCTGGGCATGTTTAGCCTGAAGAAGAGAAGGCTGAGAGGAGATATGATAGCCATGTATAAATATGTGAGAGGAAGCCACAGGGAGGAGGGAGCAAGCTTGTTTCTGCTTCCCTGGAGACTAGGACGCGAAACAATGGCTTCAAACTACAAGAGAGGAGATTCCATCTGAACATGAGGAAGAACTTCCTGACTGTGAGAGCCATTCAGCAGTGGAACTCTCTGCCCCGGAGTGTGGTGGAGGCTCCTTCTTTGGAAGCTTTTAAACAGAGGCTGGATGGCCATCTGTCAGGGGTGATTTGAATGCAATATTCCTGCTTCTTGGCAGGGGGTTGGACTGGATGGCCCATGCGGTCTCTTCCAACTCTTTGATTCTATGATTCTATGTTGCCCTGGGTCAGAATTCTGGCCACAGTGGTCCACGCTCTTGTTACATCCCGAATAGATTACTGCAATGCGCTCTATGTGGGGTTGCCTTTGAAGACTGTTCGGAAACTTCAATTAGTCCAACGGGCGGCAGCTAGATTACTCACCGGAGCGTCATACAGGGAGCATACCACCCCCCTGTTGTGTCAGCTCCACTGGCTGCCGATCCAATTCCGAGCACAATTCAAAGTGCTGGTCTTGACCTATAAAACCCTATACGGCTCCAGTCCAGCGTACCTGTCCGAACGTATCTCCTTCTACGTCCCACCTCGGAGCTTAAGATCTGGGGAGTCCCTGCTCTCAGCCCCGCCTTTGTCTCAAACATGTTTGGCAGGGACGAGGGTCAGGGCCTTCTCAGTTGTAGCCCCCGCCTGTGGAATTTGCTTCCCGGGAAAATTAGGTCATCGTCATCCCTCCTTAGCTTTAGAAAGAAGGTAAAAACCTGGTTGTGGGACCAGGCCTTCGAGCAATTTGGTTAAAGGATAATTGATAATGTTTGACTATGGCTTGGAAATGGATTTGGATAAGTTAAGCGGAGTAATCATTAGTATATGGCTAGATAACTAGCCACCAGACTGTCAATAGCTAAATGGATCGTAAGTATACTGTTTAATCTTTATTTATTACTGTTCATGTTTTTAATTGTTATATTTGCTATTTTGTATTTTATGATGCGACATTGAATTGTTGCCAATTGGAAGCCGCCCTGAGTCCCCCTAGGGGTTGAGAAGGGTGGGGTAAAAATGTTTGAAATAAGAAATAAATAAATCCATCCATCTTGCCCTTGGTCGGCCCTTCTTCCTTTTTCCTTCCATTTCCCCCAGCATCGTTGTCTTCTCATTATGTGGCCAAAGTACTTCGTCTTTGCCTCTAATATCCTTTCCTCCAGTAACCAGTCGGGCTTTATTTCCTGAAGTATGGACTGGTTGGATCTTCTAGCGGTCCAAGGCACTCTCAGAACTTTCTTCCAACACCACAGTTCAAAAGCATTTATCTTCCTGCACTCAGCCTTCCCTATGGTCCAGCTCTCACATCCATAGGTGACTATGGGGAATTACATTGCTTTTACTATGCGGATCTTGGTTGCCAGTGTGATGTCTCTACTCTTCAGTATTTTATCGAGATTATTCATTGCACTCCTCCAAAGAAGTAAGCGTCTTCTGATTTCCTGGCTGCAGTCTGCATCTATGGTAATCTTTGCACCTAGAAATACAAAGTCTGTCACTGCCTTCACATTTTCTGTCTCTATTTGCCAGTTATCTATCAGTCTTGTTACCATAATCTTGGTTTAATGTTTAACTGCAACCCAGCTTTTGCATTTTCTTCATTCACCTTGATTAGAAGATTCCTCAGTTCCTCGCTTTTGGCCATCAAAGTGGTGCCATCTGCATATCTAAGGTTGTTAAAGTTTCTTCCAGCAATTTTAACCCCAGACTTGCATTCATCAAGTCCTGCACATCACATGATGTGTTCTGCATACAAGTTGAATAGGTTGGGTGAGAGTATACAACCCTGCCGTATGCCTTTCCCAATCTTGAACCAGTGTATTGTTCCATGGTCAGTTCTTACTGTTGCTACTTGGTCCTTAGGAGAGAGGCGAGGTGGCTTGGTATGCCCATACCACCAAGAACTTGCCACAATTTATTATGATCCACACAGTCAAAGGCTTTAGAATAGTCAAAAAAACTAAAATAGATGTTTTACTGGAACTCCCTGCCTTTCTCCATTATCCAGCGAATATTGGCAATTTGATCTCTCGTTCCTCTGCCTTTTCCAAACCCAGCTTGTAGATTATTATTGTTATTAATGCACTCAAGTATTTATATGCAACCCTTCAGCTTGCAAACTTGCCAGGCTACCTAGTTCAACAAATGCAAAAGACATTTTTACTGAAAGCACAAAATTGGGTTCATTCCTGTGAGCAGCATACCGAAATGCCAGATTTGATGCCAGATTAGTCTTTGGGCCCTTCCACACAGCCATATAACCCAAAAATCCCAGCCAGCTTGCAGGCTGTTAGGAATTGTGGGCTTTGAAATCCAAAACACCTGGAGGGCCGAAGTTTGCCCATGCCTGGTCTAAGTCGAGGGAAGTCATGCTGCCCCGCTATTTTGCTTTGATTAGACCTTACCTGGAATACCGTGTCTAAATTCTCTCCCCATTTTTTTTGGCAATTTGCTAACAAGCAAATATATGTCTAGGGAACTCAAGCTGACACCAAAGTTGATTTCATTTTTGTGTCAAGTTGAAACAAGTGTGGGACTTTTGTTGACCAATGATATCCTTTATATTAGTTCAAAGGTTATTTTTTGCTAATCGTGAGATCTCTGGATATAGTATGTAATATAAATAGTTGGATATAAGTAAATGTATAATTTTTATTATAATTCATGTTAAAATTAAATTATACTTTTTTCTTAGTTTGCCAGTATATCAAACAATAATGTTTTGTCTCCTGCATTGCACATTTTCTAAAACACTATTAATAAACTTGTCCATAAAGGTTCAAGTCTTGTAAGTAAAGTTAGCATTTAATGTTTTGACCTTTTTAGGAAACAGAAAGCATAATATGGCCCAGTTTGTCCATAAATCAGGGGTCTGAATTCATCATGGCCTATTGTTTATTATACCTTCTGCTGTAAATGGGAATGGTCAGGTGGCAATTGCTTTTCATCCAGTCTCTGTTTAACATGGCAGCTTTAACTTGGTTTTTCCTCAGCACAAATACTTTTGGCTTATTCCTGGCAGGAGGGGAGGCAAGAGAGTTCTGGGCTTATAAATTAGGCCATATGAGGAGTGTGCAGTCTGTGGAACATAGGTTATCACATACAAAGTGTTACTAGTTGTCTTCCAGCTACTACATTTCTTACTCAATTTTGACTCCATTTGCTATTCTGGCTGATGATTCTGTTGATACCGGGTTTGTTTAGTTGCATCCACTGGCAGGAGGAGCTAAGTGGGCACAGTCAAGCATTATGCATCAGTGTACTGACCTTTTCATGATAAGTCACACCTATTTCCAATTCTGGATAATTGTGATGTCTAGAAATTCAAATATTTTAATCAAAGAAAACAGATACATAGAATCTTGACATTTGGTATTTCAAATTGCCTCTAACACGATTCATTTCTTCATAAAACAGTGTATATTTGTATCATTGCTGGGGTTTTTTGTAAATACACTAATTTTGACACAAGAGCAATGTGCCATATATTTAAATGTCAACCAGGAAGTAAAAGAACATCAGCCTTTCTGTAATAACTTGTAATATACTCCCATTTATAGCTAATCATCAGTTACAAATCTGTCTTTAATACTGAGTCTTTCAAGAATAATAGTAAAATCATTTATAGTAATTAGATAGGACATACTTTATAACATATTCAGACACACCAGTAATCAGTCTATAAAATCATTTATTAAACAGGCAGCTACAAAAGGCGTGGTAAACTTTGGTGACAAGTTGAAGAATTTCCCTGAGTTGTACATTTGTCTTAACCTACAATGTGAAAGATACCCGTGGTATGGACTCTGGTAACTTTTTTCTCTTTACTTGGATGAAAATGGATTTTCTCCGAAATGTAGCACTATGTATTCAATAGAATATGTTAATGTATGAATCCTTCCTATCAAGAACTGAATATACTACTATTTCATTGTCTCCGAGTTGTTACTTCCTTGCTCCATGGCCTCGAGATATATAGAAATGTTGTTTCTGACTTTGCTTATATTTTCTAACTTTGCTTATATTTTTTTATCCATTTACTTGCATACTGTAACAACCTGAAATCAAAACTAAAGGCCATGTTCTTATGTGATCAATATATTTCTGATTTTATTTCAGGTTTATGAAGAATATGATTACAGACGGGTTCGGTTTGTTGGACGACAGAAAGAGGTAAAATCATTATTAGGAACCATTTTGTCTTTCTTCTTGGTTTCCTTTTGATATTGACAGAATGTACATTCAGTGTAATGATTAATAAGTATTGCATTTTAACAAACAGAAATTAAAGAATTGTGTTGAAGAACTTGGATTGAAACCAGTTTTATTCCCCCTAATCACAATTCAAATTACACTTTCATTATATGACATAGACCATATATTTCAGCTGATGTATTTTGCAGATTATCTGTAGGTTAAGCTTCATTTTGAAACTTTCCCCTCTGTCATAGAAGATCATCTTAATACTTCTGAAATATTTGAAATGTATAGTCAAAATTGAGCAGATGAAAGCTTTGAAGTGAAATTAATTCAATTGGTGCTTTATTTAAACCATTTGGCTTGGTTCACATGTGATGTAGTGATAATAATAATAAACTTTATTTGTATCCTGTTTCATTTCCCCAAGGGACTTGTGGCAGCTCACAACATGAATAAATACAATAAGAGACATAAAAATAAATAATAACACATAAAATCAATATAAAAACAAACAAATTAAATCAAACAATAAACAAAATTAACAATAAAAATTCTAAAACATTAGTTAAAAACACAGTCATTCCTATGAATTAAAAGGGCCTGATATAATGGTGTATAATGGTATGCCAGAGACACATGGCTCACTGGTATGCTTAAGCTTTGCACACATCTGTTGAGGACCATTTTAAAAGCAATGCCAGCTGCAAGGTATTCTGGATAGGTATAATTTTCTTGTAAAATAAATGTCATGTTTAAATTGGGTCAGTTTGAATCTAGTATGGTACCTGGTGCTGTACTTGTACAAGGCGGATTCCCTATCCTTTGCTCACTGCAGTCCTCTGTGCTTCTTGAAAATTTTGGCTTATTACAATAACCTACTCAATAAACACACTGTGGAGAAATAGTAGTATTGTGCCTGCGTTAATTGTATTTAATTGTAAGCAGACACCTTTGTCTTAAACAGGTATTTGATCCATTGTAATTCAGCAATATTATGCTCATTTTCCTTCTGAAGTGTTGGATTTGTCCATTGGACCAGTAGTGTTTTCCACTGGTGTCAGTAAAACTGCATTTCCCAAGCAGCTTTTGCACAGTCTTGAGTGCACAAAGGAGGTGCAATGGGAGGAGAAATCTCATTTACTTCTGTCTGAATAATTATGCTGTTGGTATGCTGAAATTATGCCCTCCTGCAGCTCTCATGTGCTAGGACTGTGGATACTGTAATGGCCCCTGTAGTGGGATAAAGGGATCCACAGTATTTAATCAGGAAAGCGGAAATAGAATCCCAGTAAGAACTTTCAGTGTTGCATGGATATAATCTTTGAGCCAGCCAGCCAGTTAGTACTGATCTGTTTTAATTAGATGATTTTGCAGTATCTCTAGTATCAAAAGCCAGGACTTGTGTCTCTGTTCATATACGTCTGTGCTGTTGGTGTCATTTCTATTTTATTATTACAGGTCAATGAGAGTTTTGCAATTGATTTAATTGCTGAGCAGCCTGTGAGTGAAGTTGAAACCAGAGTTGTATCCTGTGATGGTGGAGGAGGAGCTCTGGGACATCCTAAAGTTTATATAAATTTGGTAATGTAATCTAATTGTTGCTGCGTGATTCTGTATTGTGTTGTCTGTTGTGTTGAGTACTCTGTTTGAGAGGGAAATACAGTTCAACCCCTGTATCAATCCCTTGTAAAATGAGTCACTTTCATTGAAAGTTGCTGTAGAGCAGTTGTTCTCAACCAGTGGGTCCCCAGCTGGTAAACTGGCTGGGATTTCTGGGAGTTTTAGGCCAAAACACCTGCGGACTCACAGATTGAGAACTACTGCTATCGTGTCTCACTTATAGGCCCTTGTAGTGGAAGCATGCCATAGAATCACCTGAAGGACCTAGAAAATTCTTAGGAAGGCGATATTTTGTCAGAAGCAGGTAGTAACAACAACAAAACTTTATTTATATACCTCCCTCTCTCCCTGAGGGGATTCAGAGCAGTTTCCAAGTAACATCATCAATACATACAGAGTAAACAACATAAACATAAAATTAACAAAGCAGTATAAGCATAAAAAATCACAATAGCACATATATATTTAAAATAATCGTGCCTATTCAAGGCAATTTAAAAAGGCTGGCCAAGTCCAGTGCAATTTCTAGAGGGCCTGGGAAATTAGGTGCAATGCTAGGGCAGGCAACAACAATAATAGGTAAAGTCTATGACTGTTCATTTCCGGGGCCTAATAGGAGAAAGTGACCTGGATAATTGGTAGAAAAAAATATGGCCATGTTCAGCAATATCTGGGGGTGAGCTAGAACCAGTCATTCTCAAAGGCTTGTTTAAACCACCAGGTCTTCAAGCTCTTACAAAAAGAGGGGAGGGATGGGGCCTCCCCTCTTTCCTCTAGGAAAAGGCATTACAGAGGCGGGATGCCACCACCGAGAAGACCCTCTCTCTCGTTCCCACCAACCATGCTTGTGACGGTGGTGGGAGCGAAAGGAGGGCCTCCCCGGAAGATCTTAAAGTTCGTGCCGGTTCATAGAGGAAAATGCGATTGCGAAGATAGGTGGGGCCCGAACTGTTTAGGACTTTATAGGTCATAACCTGCACCTTGAATTTGGCTCGGCAACTTATTGGCAGCCAGTGAAGCTGTTTTAAAAGGGGCATTGTATGCTCCCTGTAGTTTGCTCCAGTAAGGAGCCTGGTTGCCGCCCGTTGCACCAATTGGAGCTTCTGGGCTGTCTTCAAGGGCAGCCCCGTGTAGAGCGCATTGCAATAGTCCAATCTGGATGTAACCAAGGCATGAACCACGCTGGCCAAGTCAGACTTCAAGAGGTATGGTTGCAGCTGGTGCACAAGTTTCAGTTGTGCAAAGGCCCTCTCGGCCACCACTGACACCTGAGCCTCAAGTGACAGTGTTGAGTCCAGAAGGACCCCCAAGCTATGGACCTGCGTCCTCAGGGAGTGTAACCCCGTCAAGCACAAGTTGCCACCCAATACCCTGGTTGGTTCCATGACTGACCAGGAGGACCTCTGTGTTGTCTGGATTAAGCTTCAACCTGTTAGCCCTCATCCAGTCCATCACAGCAGTCAGATACTGGTTTAGGGTCTGGGAGGCTTTCTTGGAGTTTGGTGGAAATGAGTAGTAGTGACATATGAGTATTGCATCCCAGGATATGGAGTTTGTACTGTATGTGCAAAACAGAGACCAAATAGTAGGGCCTTGATACGCCAGTTGTTTTGCTGCCTATAAAGGGCACTGCAATAATGAAGCATCCACAGCCTCTGAGTGGCCATAATACACTTATATATAATTTTATTGTGGAGACTTAGTTTTGGGTCATGTTTTAATGATGGACTAAATGAGTAAGTGAGGGAGACACTCGTATATGGGTATTTTAAAGATAAAAGTGTGTGCATGTTTGTCTTTTCTGTGTTGTATCCATGGTTGATTCTTAATGTAGTTCCAGCCATTAATGTCAGTCTTCATTCTCTTTGTTTTGCTTTAATTATTGCTTGTTAGCGTATCTCACCTGTAAATTCAAATATTTTATGGGATGTATTATTGAATAGATTGCTTTCTTTTAATTGTATGTATCTTGTTAGCACATCAGATGGAAGCACTTTGCTGATCTGAAGTCTTGTCACTTTTTATGGTTTAATTGCCTCTTCAAATTGGTACAGGAAAGTGAAGCCTAATTGATTAAAAAAAAGGAGAATTGATAGTCAGGGGTGACTGCTTGACAGATAATGGGCAATTGTTAGAGCTGTTGGATAGCATCCATATATTCCATGACTAGCCTTAGTCCTTTGGAATAGATAACCAGCGTCACTCTTCAGCGTTCACATCAAAAATGGTATAATTCAAAGACTTTACTTTGTTTTGCATTTTCAGATGAAGATGGGCTGTTTTCCAGCCCCCAGCCCCTCTTTACCTAATGTTTTGAAATCCAGAAATATCTTAAACTGAAAGTAAATAATTAGAACTGTCCCCCCCCCCCCCCAATCATTTGATTGTCACTTTCCTGTTCGAATATCACGGTACTGTTTGAATAGGAGATGTATTTAGTAATGGTTTTTAATGAGTATATGGCAGCCACTCAATGAAATCCATTATCATTTTTGCAGCATATTTCTGTCCCCAGAAGCAGACCTTGCTGAGTTCACAGTGTGTATGACGTAAAATACACCTTCGATTAGGCCTAATGGAACCCCCATACTCAGCAGTAAACATGGAAAAATAAAGCTGTGTGCCACCTTTCTACAGGGTGAAGCAGCATAACTTCCTTTTTTCAAAACTTAGTAAAACCCATTGTATGAATCAGAAATTTTAATTTTTTTTGTAATGTAGGCACATACTTAAAGTTTTGTTTTACGTAGTTTTGAAGATCAAATTAGATAGGTGACGTCCCCCATTCTCCATACACTGATTTCTGGCATTTGCCATGACTTGCCAGCATAGCAGGCGTTATGTTGGCAATTTCTTCCTGGATGTTGGTCTTCAAATCTTGTAGGGTCCTTGGACGGTTCACATAAACACGGGATTTCAAAAAACCCCATAGAAAAAAATCACAAGGGGCCAAATCTGGAGAGCGGGCCGGCCACTCCAAATCCGCTCGAAAAGTAGGCCTCAACGGCAAAAGCACGCTCCTCACTGTTCCAACGCATGATGGCGACTGAACTGTGTCAGGACAAAACTTTATACTCCCGCCTCTCGAACGAGACCACTAGCGCTCCGCTACGTCTTCGACTGACTGAATGGCACGCGTTTTTAAAAAGGGAGTTATGCTGCCTCACCCTGTAGTTTTCATATGCAAACAAAAGTGTTGAATGAAACTCAAAGTATTTGTTCTGAAAGTTTGTGCAAGTGGGCTTACTTTAGTAACTTTATTTTTTCACCTTCACCTCTTTCCCGTTTGCAGGATAAAGACACGAAGACAGGAACATGTGGCTACTGTGGACTTCAGTTTAAGCAGAAGCACCATCACTGAAACACTTTTTCTCACTGCCTCCTTCAGAACTGTTAGCTTTCTATCTTATAAAATTAAATATGTATTTTAAAGGGCATTGTGAGATTTATCTGTTTTTAATCCAATATTGTTCTTTTGGGAGTCCATAACTGCTGAAAGTTTTCTCTGGGAAAGGATGGACCAACTTATAATCATAAAAAAATATGTATGGTAACAAAATGGAGAATAAGATAATTTCATTTCCATGCTGTTGATCAGAAGCTATTTGCAACCTGTTTTTATTTGTAGTTTAATAGTAAGTATGAATCTTGAAACAGGTACATTTTAAAAATATTAACTTTACCCTACTGTTTCAACAAAGAGGCAAGTCAAGTTTTACTGAAATCAGCCATCATCAAGCAACAGTGTGTTAAGATAGCTTATTAAAATTAACTACAGTTTAAGGCTCAATCATACTAAGCAGCCACAATGGAAGGAGAGGGAAGGATGCATAGGCCATTTAACTGTAAATTGTGTAGTGCCTGAATGAACTTATCTGACATTCTTGAAGTTGGGATCCCAGTGTAAAATTTCTAGTAGTATCTTTTCTTTCAAGTATTATTTATTTACGACATTAATATCCTGCCCTTCTCACCCCGAAGGGGATTCAGAGTGACTTATAAAACACACATATGGCAAACATTCAATACTGATTATACAATTAACAAAGACAGAAAACTCAGAGGTATAGGTAGTTTTTCCCATTTTATTTCTGGCTTCTTGGAGGCTGTGCACAACTCCAGCAACGGGGGGTGCTGTCGCTTCATCTTCCATGCCAAGGAGCTGTCCTCTTATCAGTGTCCTTTATTACCTTTCCACTAAAAGTGTTTTCGACCTGCTCGGTGGACAGATGAGCTGGGGCTAACGGCAGGTGCCCATCCCTACCAGGCTCAAACTGCCGACCTTCTGATTGGCAGGATTTTTCTGCAGCACAGCGTTTTAGCCTGCTGTGCTAAGCCCAGCCTCTACTTAATAGAGTTTCAAATCTCCTACTTAATTAAATCATTTTTCAAATCAGTTGATGTGCCGAACAAGGGGGCATTGTGAATTGTATCTGTGTTAATCCAATATTGTTCCTTTGGAATTCCATATCTGCTGAAGAGTCAATTAGGATGAGAATATTACTATTTCTTAAACATTTCGTTTTAGGCAGGCATGTTTGCCAGCCGTGGTCTTCTCACTCAGGAGACACTAATGAGCTTTTGGTCTGTAATGTTTACATGAAAATACCTGGACATTTATTGGGGAGAAGATACTGATAAATAGTTTGTTTTGGGTTTTTTTAGTCAGAAGTTTTATTTATTGGTGTCTTGCACTTTTTAAGGAGGACATATAAAGGATAACTTGGAAGAGTTCTTGCAAATTGTATGCACTGTTGGTCTTTACGTATTTGAGCTATAGGGGATTTTAAATATTTTATATGATTATATTTATAGAGCACTTGATGGCAACCTTAATCAGTTTTCACAACTTTCTATTATTTAACTGAAATAGGAACCTTGTAACAAAGGTCCCAAAGGAACTGGAACCTGCAATCTAGGAATGTCACATGATACTATACAGCAACAATACACAAAATAGCATTGTCCCCTTGCTGCATTTGTCACAAAAACTTCTGACCAAATGTCATGGTTAGAGAGCAGATTTGCCATGTAGATACTTTACAAACTGACTTCAAAAGAATATCTTGTAACTCCAGTTGTCTTATTGCTTTACATTACAGTTTGAAAATTTCATCCCTTTCCCATATAACCAGATATCACTGCTTATATTCATATGTTTGTGAGATGCAAAAGGGATGGAAGTAAGGATGAAAAAAATATTCAAAAATGGTGGAAAAACATGTTTCCTGGATGTTAGGAAACCTTTATGAGGAGAATCCTAAAATGACAAAAAATCTTTACATTTTGGGCCTTTTTCTGTGCAGAATTTGTGTACTACATGTTGTATGGAGAAAAAAGTATTTCTCTATAACGAGTTCAGACATGGAGCCTTTTTTGAAGCAAAAGTTTCTTGAGGAGTCCCAAGAAATGTTAATATATATTTTATTATATATAATGTATATATACCCAGCATGGGCTGGGCCAGTGGCAGATGGATGGAGAGTGTTTGTGTGAACTAATTCACACAGTGCAAAAATTAAAATAAAATATTTAAAATGAAGAGCACTTTTAACCAACATAAACTTAACAGTATTTCAGTGAAAGACCCCTGGGGCTATCCTGTTCAACCTGCTTCTGACATGTACTAAAAACACAATCAAAGCACCCCCAACAGATGACCATCTAGCTTTTGCAATACTACTACTACTACTACTACTACTACTACTACTACATCTATAAAATAAAAATGTAATGTTCGTTTGTGGGATTAACATAACTCTAAAACCACTGGGCGAATTGACACCAAATTTGGACACAATACAACTATCATGCCAATGAGTGACCATCTATATAAATAAAAATGTAATGTTCGTTTGTGGGATTAACAGAACTCAAAAACCACTGGACGAATTGACACCAAATTTGGACACAAGACACCTAACAACCCAATGTATGTCCTTCACTTAAAAAAAATGATTTTGTCATTTGGAAGTTGTAGTTGCTGGGATTTATAGTTCACCTGCAATCAAAAAACATTCTTAACCCCACCAACGATGGAATTGAATCAAACTTGGCACACAGTTTTTCCATGACCAACAGAAAATACTGAAAGGGTTTGGTGGGCACTGTCCTTTGGTTTTGGAGTTGTAGTTCACCTACATCCAGAGATCACTGTGGACTCAAACAATGATGGATCTGGACCAAACTCCACAAGAATACTCAATATGCCCAAATGTGAACATTGGGGGAATTTGGGGAAAATAGAATCTTGGCATTTGGGAATTGTAGTTGCTGGGATTTATAGTTCATTTAACAATCACAGAGCATTCTGAACACCACCAATGATAGAATTGGGCCGAACCCCCATGTGGACCGAACCCCCATGTGGGCCACAGCAACGCGTGGCAGGGGACGGCTAGTCACTCAAAAATACTGAAAAACACAGCAGAAGAGACTTAAAAAGCCAAAAAATAAAAAATACATTACAATGCATGCACAAAACCACATATATACACATATACACAATATGTATATACACACAGACATATACATATATACATACACAAAACACATATGCACAGACTGGGCCCCAGCAATGAGTGGCAGAGGACAGCTAGAAATAATAATATCAGAAACCCCAGAGGAGGTGGAGTGCCCGCGGAACCCCAGAGCACCACTCATGGAGCCCCAAAGGCTCCCTGGAGCCCAGTTTGAGAACAGCTGTTCTATAGAAATACTATTTTATGTTTAGAAAATGCTGTTTTCAGCACAAAAATCAAGGTGAACATTTTGCATAAAATAAGTCCTGAACTATGAATAATATTTGAAAATGTGAGGAGTTGTATGCTCCCTGTAGCCAGCCCCAGTTAGCAGTCTGGCTGCTGCTCTTTGAATCAACTGAACTTTCCAAGTGTTTTTCAAAGGCAGCACCACGTAGAGCGCATTAGAGTTGTTCAACAGATTTAATGAAGGCATGTATCACCATGGCCAGAACTGACTTCTTCAGGAACAGATGCAGCTGGTGTAGCTTTAACTGTGCAAAAGCACTCTTCGTGCCTGAAGCTCTGGAGCTGATCTACAAATTGGGCCAGTGTGTAAACAGTGGTTGTTCACATCACCATCCTGCTTTTCTTGGGCACAGGGAAAGGGAATGGCACTTCCCTTGCCCCTGTCATTCGGAACTGTGTAGTGTCTACTGAGCATGAAAATAATGCTGGTCCCTGTTTGGCACCTGTAATGGTGATAACTGGAGCAATAAGTCAATTGGAGAAGGCGAGGGAGAGAAGAATTGTTCCCTCATTTCCCTCCTCCTTTCTCCAATCACCTTGTTTTGTTGCTCTGACTGTTGTCATTGCAGGCACCTATCAGTGACCAGTGCCATTTTTGTGGCCAGAAGGCACAGCAAATCCTAGAATGACAGTGCTGAGCTTGCTCCATTGCCACTGGGCTGTGCAGACACCATCCAGCTGCCAGGTTGAGGACATGCAGTGTGTCCATGGCAATGCTGATCCAGAGTATCCCACTCAAGATCAATGCTGTTGTTTGTAGCCCCTCATTCCATCAATGAGAAGAATAATCCAGCATTTGGTCTGTCTCGTGCCTGCTCATTGTTTCTCCCTGGAAGATGTGATGTCAGGTTGCTAGCGCATCTCCAGCCTGGGTCTTAAAAAGTAGACTTCGCTGAAAATCTGGGAAGCTTGATAATCTGGGATAAGAAAGTATTGAATCCGGGACAAATGGAATTAAACAAGACCAGGTCTTGTAGATAACAGCCTATGTGAAAGGAAGAGCTTGCTTCATGGGCCCTTCATCAGCCTTAGTGCTTATTTATTTATTACTAGCTTGGGGACCCGGCGCTGCTCGGGTTATTTGAGAAAGGCATTGTGTGGCAAAGGTGCTCTTTATCAGTTATCAGTTAGTGAAGGTACTGTGAATCCCATCGTGCATGGTCCATCCTCCTCCAAACAGCCCCTGGATGTAGAGTGGGTTATGGTGGGTTATGGTGGCTCTGTGTGCCAAGTTCGATCTTACTCTGTCATTGGTGAGGGTCACAGTGATCTCATGAAGTGTGTGAAGGTATTGCAGGTCCCATCATCCATGGTGAATCCTCCTTCATACCACAACAGGATGTAGAGTGGATCATGGGGGCTCTGTGTGCCAAGTTTAGTCTAGATCAGTCATTGGATGAGGGTTGCAGTGGTCTCAGAAAGTGAGTTAAGGTACTGCAAGTCCCATCATCCGTAGGCCGTCCTCCCTAAATTGCACCAGGATGTAGAGTGGGTCATGGGGGCTCTATGTGCCAAGTTTGGTTTTTATCAGTCTTTGTTGGGGGCCGCAGTGTTCTGTGGAAACCGAATGGTTGGAAAGTACTACACATCCCATCATCCATTGTCTGTCCTCCACCAAACCTCACCAGGAACTAAAGGAGGTCATGGGGAATATGTGTGCCAAGTTT